ATAGAACCTTTATAGCACCTGCATAGAAGCCCTACAGAAACCAGCATAGATCTTTAGGGAAATCCTAAACTCGAAACCCTAGACCCGAAATTCCTTGAAGGAACCCTAAAAGGGATCTTAAACTCAGAGAGCTACTTCTGAGGATTTGTACTTAAGATCCCTTTTGGTTTAGAACCTTAAGGGGATCTTAACTTAAAGGCACCAGAATCCCTTTAAGGAAACCCTAAACCCGAAATCCTGGGAGGCAAAAAAACCCGAAATCGCTGTAAGGAACCGGAAAAAGCCCCACAAGTAGCTCTTTGAGGGGCGCCGGCCTTGTCCCTCGGCCTCTCCCTGGACATCCCGATCCAGGCAGGGCCTCTTTCCTGCAGACGGCAGGTGCGCGGGTTCAGGGGTCCTGGAATGGCCCGGCTTTGAGGGTTTACTATAGTTCCCATAGGGCTTTGGCGGCGTTGGGAGTTGAGTTTTGAGTGTTTCTGTTCGAAAAGGGTACATGCAGTGGTACTCGTCGCAGTGTCGCGATGGCAGGAGCTACTTGCGGCGATGCTGGAGTATCAGCCGGAGCCTGGAAAGGGCTCGCTACATTTTGAGGTCTAATACACCATATGATGTCGCATTACATCACACTGTCTTATCTCTGTCCTCCCTTATCTTCTATCATAATACATGATGCCAAAAAGCGGTAGGGCGTTGAACTTGCAACTTCCTCCAGAAGTCGAAGCTGAGGCAGCGAAGCCCGCCACGTGCTGACGAGCTTCCAGACACGCTGTGCCTTATCATTGTTTTGGATGTTATGTATATATAGGCACAGGCATGAAAACATATTGATAAGCATCAAACGACTTGATAGCATCAACAAATTGACAGCCATCACAAAAAATTGATGGCCGCATGGCAAGTTTTTTTGATGTCTGTCAAGTTTTTTGATGTTTAACCGCCCCCCCCCCAAGGAAATGCGTGTTCTCCCTAAACCTTTAATTTGTTTGATGCTTGGCAATTTTGTTTGACGGCCGCATTGCCAATTTTCTTTTGATATCTATCTTTGTTTGCGATGTTTCACCCCTGTATATGTACATAGGTTAAATAAATACATAAATAGGTATGTATATATATATATATGTATATGCATGTATGTAATAATGTTTGACATATGATGAGTAAAACCGTCTAATATAGTACGACTGGCATATTGGTCAAATTGGGCTTCTTTTCACACCCCGCACAAAACAGAGCGCTGCCCCTTAGCTGGGCGAGGTGTGGATGCAACGTGTCATGGGCACCACTACACAGTAGCTTTTCACTGAGACGTGCACCCAGGCCGAAGTTCGCGCTGTGCCCTGGTGGGAAGTTAGTCGAAGACTGCCTGTGCGGCCGCATGGGCCGTCAACCTGATTGTCTTGCCTTGCTGCTAGAGGGATGCCAGGGGCTATACAACGAAAATTCCGGATTAGTCGTGAGTACTGTCTTGTGGGTCAAGCTGGGCAGTAAGGGCAGCAGCAGAGTCCCTTGTGAAAAAAGGGCTGCATGTTTCTGCAGCTGAGGAAATCCCCCACCAATGTGGATCCAGCACAGGCCAGATTTGCCGCAGATGTAGTATCGCCATGACTTGCGCCAACTTGAGTAACGGAGTTTCAGAGCATGGCGGAGATAAAGAATGCTAGGAACCCCATTATATACAAGCTCCCTCAGTTTAATCTTTAAACTTGACTGCGAACAGTAGAAGCCTCATGATTCTAAGGAGCTCCTGTTTCAGTCTTGCCCCCTCGGTGTCGAGGCCCAAGAACCGCCTGGCTTGGAGGCTGAAACCTGGCTGCGTTTACCTGGCTACGCGTTTTTGGCAATGAGCCAGACACATGCATGCCTGTTGTATTTGTCGTTTGCTGTGTCCCGTGTGTATGTATGCATGCATGCATGCATGAGCCGTAATTGATCTCAACGACGAAGGCATGCGTGCAAGTGCCCACATGTGCTCACATTACATGGTGGCCTGCACTCGCGCGAAGAGGTTCGGAAGAAGAAGAGGGGACAACAGAACGGGTTGACTGTGTCGCATCTAAGGCGAAGCCAACGACGGCGAGCTTTACAGGTTCACCCTGGGAGACCATGCCAACGTGCTCCCGCGAATTCTAGGGTGGAAAGGCACAGATCGGTTGTGAGGGCCATTGTGCTTGCGCAACGAAAGTAGCCAACAAACATGTCCCGAGAGCATCTCAGAATTGTGCCTTAACCCGCAGGGGATAAATTAGTCACATATGTATATATATATATATACACAAGCATACAGTACATATTATCATTATATATCTAGTGTATCTATTAGACTCTAGATTCAGCAGTATATCTTGTGCTTCACAGCAGCATGCCGGAGGTATCGGCCTCGACTGACCACCGTCGTCCATCGTGTGAAGGCTCCTTGGGAGGACGTTAAATAAGATGCCCTTTAGGATCCTTTCCGGGTTCGGGGTTACTCAACCGCATGACAGCAGCGAGTCAGTGATGTAGTGACACCGACCCAGAGACAACGCGAAGCTGCAATAACTTTCCTGGCCACGCTGCTTCGGCTGATTTTGGTGGTAGGCTCGCATCGTACACTTTCTGAGGTATACAACCTCATGAAGAGCGTCAAGTCTCGAGATGTTCAGCCTTTCGGCGTTGTAATCATGGGCTGGACGCCTCACTGCGCAGTCACGGCTCCCTTGCTTGCCCTTGTAAGGTACATCTTTGAGAAGCACGTCGGCCCGATTGAGAAGTGTGTGTTGACTGAAACTTGGCCCCAATGAACCGCTGCACATGCAACTGACTCGGATGTCTTGGCCTCGGAGGACTGCGTGGCTTCGATCCAATTCACGATGCCGGATCACGCAAGAACGGCGGTGGAACGCTACGACGGAGGTATTCTGGAGATAAGCACCCCGGCTGTCAATCCGGGCCAGAGGTGATTTGGAGCCCTATGGGCTCCTTTCATGTCTACTTTCGTGCCTTGTAATCCCCAGCTGGGAGTAGGGCTCTACACAATGTTGCACGCGCCGCCGTCGAATTTGTTGAACAATGCCTTAATCCCCACTTCTGAACTCGCTCAGGCACAGACAAGAAGAGGAGCGACGATACTTTAATCTCGCTTGCCGCACCTCGTCCGAAGTCTGAACCCCTAAACCCTAAACGCCCCATCTGTCTTCGCAGTTTGCGGTTTCACTCATCAGACCCCGAACCACATGCTTCGCCTGGATTGTCCGAGTGTGAGTGCCGAAAAACCATGAAAATAATTAAACCCTAAATGCGAAGGGTGGGGGGAACCAACTTCGCCAGCAGTGTCCGGTTGCGAAGTCCTGAGGGAGAACAATGAAGAGATTTGACACATTCCCTGCGAAGCTCACCGAGGTCTCGCCATGGGCTCACGATGGACTTGCCCTTAGATCAAAGCTCGAAGAGCCCATGCCTCAGCCAGTCTTTTTGGGGATTTGTCTAGCGTATTTAGTCTTTCGATATATAGAAATAAGTCTTTATATAGATACATATGTACATATTTACACATACACGCATGTACATACACATACCTGTAAATAGTTATATAGATATCTAGATATAGTAAAGTATGTAAACTGACTCTTTTGTATTGCCGCTACGCTTGGATGATGGAGCTTTGCCGCGTAGTTGGGCGCTTGGCAATCCTATGCCCCAGGCCCTACCCTAAACTGTCAACCCTACATCTACCCCATAAACCCCTAGTCCAGCAAGCGCTACACCCGCAGTGTCAAGCCAAGCGTCGTGCACCCTGCTCAGGACACTGTGGCCTCTCTCGGACTGTCAGCTGAGGCCTTGTCCTGGCTCGAATCAAACTTTAGGGGTTTTAGTTACTAGACCAGTATTGCTTTCAGGGTCTTTTAGGGTTTTTGTAAGGGTTGCTACTAGGGTTTAGTCTAGGGGCCTTAATAGCTACTAAGGGGCCAGTTTTTTCGATGCAATGTAAGTACAACTGGAGGGCTACCGTGGGGCTTACTGTCCGACATGTATTCGATAATGGGATCCAGAGCATTGCAGAAGAGCGCTTCCCACCCTGCCACGATGTCCGATGCAGGCGGGGCGAAGGGTGGCTGACAATGTTCCGTGTGAGCACCGCGAAGGTGGGGTTTGTGGGGGATGATGGCAGAGAATAATAATAATAATGGAACCTGACATAGACTCAAAATTATTCAAACTAAACAAATCTCACTTACAGCTCTTATGTATCTACTCCTGAACATGCTGTAGACTAGAATTTCGTACAGTAGGCAAATCCCACTTACAATTTGTATCTACTTGTATCTACTCCTGTACCCTCGGGGTCGCAAGGACCCAACAATTAGGTACACGGATTTAGGATCGTAAGTAGTTATGTAGCCTAAACCTTAACCCCTAAATCTTAAACCCTAATCCCTAAACCCTCATCCCTAGGGCCTTATAAACTGACTGCACAGTGTCGACCAAGGAAGCTCGCAAGAGCGACGTGGGTGAGAGCCATCAGGCACGGCTGCTTTTGCCTTTTTTGGTTCTTGTTTGAAAAGATGTTATAGTATATGATATAGTCTGATATTTTTATTGTAGTATAGTATAATATAGTATCTGGACATTATGGTATATGATACGATCTGATATGACATGATATTGTAGTATAGTAAAGTATAGTATATTATAGTATGGTATAGTATAGGATACTACGCTACAAAATATAATATCGTATCATAAGGTATTGCATCGGGTCGCAGATTTTTGCTTTTACCGGACAGGTCGATTTCAAAGGCAGCATCATTACCGCAGCTTGGCTGGGAACAGAATATAGCAGGCAGTACTGTACCGCAAGATGTGAAGGCTTTGTAGTCTCCCTAGGGCACACTTCGTCCAAGCATCGGCTTGAACAGAAATCGTTGCAGAGCTTTCGCTGCTTTACCTCGTCCTCGTCTTGACTGGGTTCGACAAGGTAGAGCAGGTAGAGCACCCTGACCCGCCACCGACCCTGCACTGTAGCTGTGAACCTAGTTTGTTTGTCTCGCCCGAAGTTGTTGCACGGTGGTGCCGAGTTCCGAGTGGCAAAATCGACTTACACTAGTTCGTATGAAACTTTGGTGGCTGCTACATTTCCTGCTGTGGGTCCTAGATCTTTAGCCAGCCATGGCACATACGCTATTGCATCCACAGGCCGCAACGTGAGGGAAACGAGTTGAATTTATATAACGTAGCTTCTCTCTAGTTGCCTCTTATACGACCCTTTGCGACTTTGGGTTTCGCTGACCTTTTGCTTGAGCACTAGGCCGCCCATAGTTGGATTGTCTGGTTTCTTGGCTTCGTTCGATGGGAAGTTATTGCAGATAATAGTGAAAATAACAATAATCACCATCACGAAGATACTAGTCAGAATACTTATCACAATTAAAGTCGAAGAAGTATTAATTTTGTAAAATATACTGCTAGCGTTACTTCTTAATGGCAGTATTCATAGCTGCGCATTTCAAACATAATCCCGGCTCAGAGGGCTGACTGCAGCTATAGAGGCTTAGACACTTCCCCTACACGACTACGATTATGAGCGCCAGTATTAGTCCAACTAATGCTGTCAGTACTGTTTCTAGTGCTGTTAAGGCAAGACCTACCTTGTATGTGTCCAGCCCCGGTTCCAGACTCCGCGAGGTAAGTCTGGATACAGATCAAGGGCTCGAGCAGGAGGGCATCGTCATCAATGGAGGCCAAGTGGCCCCTCGGCTTCACAAGATGTGGGGATCCCCATCATCAGCAGAGTATAATATACCTAAACACCCCAAGTCCAATTATTAAGGCCTGCACTGCATAGGATGGTGACTCTCAGTTTTGCTTGCTGTAGATTGCCAAGTGCTTACTGCTGCAGATTCAAAGATCCGATCAACTGAGGACTTGTAAGCTGCTGCGCAGGAGGACGCTGCATGTTTCCTATACGAAACCCCTACAGTAGCCCTATAGTCACCCTTTATAGAATTCTTCAAAAGGAACCCTTAAAGGAACCCTGTTCTGATTCTTGAGGCTGAGGCCCCAACCCCGTAGTAACATGTGTGGAGCCCTTCCAATGAAGCCCATCCAGGAACCTTAATAAGATCAGTAAAGCCTCCTATTGTAGAACCTTTGATAAGGAACCCCTAAAGGAATCCCATTCTAATTCTAAAGGCCCCTTTATCATACCCTCATATTATGTTTAGGGTTTAGGGCATGTAGGGACCTTGATTAAGTCTAAGATGAAACCTGAAATCCGAGGTCCGTATTAATGTAGAAACCTGATGAAGAAATTCCGGTTACCTAGCCCCAAACTAGTAGGATACATACTAAGACTATCAAGAACCTTATTCAAGACTTTGTTTCTTAATCAGGTTCCTAGATTACATGCAACGAACTACCAACCAAGGCACCACAAATTCACGAAGCCCCCGCGAGGAGCTGGAGCTGCACTGCGCTCCCTATGATCGGCTCTGCTTTCTGTGACCCTTCATGTGCTGCCCCAATTTCCGAGTATAAGTCTCCCGCAACCAGATCGGGAACCGATGTCGAGATCTTGCCGCAACCGATGATCACGACCTGCTTCTGCTAATCTCCGCTTACCTTCTCTAGTACTTCGCGCCTGCCTCCACGCGACCCAACATAGAATTATCTGCTCTGCCCATGCATAGCGCATTCTCTGTAACATTCTGCTTCACCCCCGGCACAGACGGCACAGACGTCGACGTCCCGTAAGCTTCGCAGGGGCTGGCTTGCCTGAGGGTTGGAAAACGAAAGTTTGTCGAGTACTTGCACTGTCTGCTAGCAGCTGCTGAAGAGCCCAAGCCAATCCATCGGCGAGCTTCACCGCGCCTCGAAGATACAAACAGTCGGATACTGTTTCAATGTCCATGGACCCGAGCCTGGCAGCCACTGGAGCACTACAGAGAATCATCCCTAAAACCCTAGAGCCTGTATCGGGCCGGTCCGGCACAGAGGCTTTGGTTCGGGTGTTGAAGTATCGCGCCGAAAGCTACAGCGACTTTCTGCAGCGATGCGGGTGCCCTTGGCATCTTGCTGGTTTCCACGTCTATGTCAAAGTGTGAGGTATCGCGTGTGCGAGAGGGACGGCTCAAACTTAAATAGGAACGGAAGCCAATCGAAGCATAGCACCAGGACAATGACTGCCTTCCCTTTCATGCCATGCTGCGGCAGAACTGCCTCAAGAATAGATTGCATCGCATGCCGCACGCGGAACAAAACAAGCAGCCCCCTGCAGAAGTAGCAAATGTAACCGATCGTTTCTGTCACGAGGAGTCAAGAGCAATGGGCTGTGACAGTGCCTCAGGCCTTCTTCGGTTTTCGTTTCACAGGTGGCTGAGGGCAGCGGGCTCTTTCCATCCGCTCTCGACACAATCCGGTTGGCAGTCAGTGTTTGTCAAACTTATGCTGCGAATTTGCTCGCCCTCAGCAATACCCACGGTGCAACAGGCGACAGTTTCCACTCTCAATAAGAGTGCCTGCCCGGCTGTAACAGTGAAAACGTGCCGACTGGCGTGACTCAGATTCGTGCCGGCTTTCAGGCTGTGTGGATTAACCAAGACTAGGGACAGCATGGACTCTCATGGCCAATCTTGCACAGAGCTTCTGTGCGCCAGCCAGAGCCAACTACTCTGAGAGCGATCTGCTCGGAAACTCATGTTCCCACAGCACCTTACCTCATGGAGGTCCTTCCACAACCTGAGCCGAAGCAGCAGAGGAAGCGCAGGAAGCCTTAGTTGGACCCTCACTCACGATGGGGGTCTTTTCTCGAGGCTTCGGCGATTCCCAGAGGCCTTGGAGGAAGCACGCCGGGATCGGAGCTCAGTTTCCCAGGGGCCTTCCCAGGGAGGTTCACGAAACCTATACACGCAAACACACACCTACTTACATATATACATACATACACACATAAACACATACACACACACACACATGCATGCATGCATGCATGCATACATACACACACACACACACATATATATATATATATGTATAAGGCCCGCCCTTTCAGGGTCTCTGTAGGGTTTATTCTCTTCTTGGTGAGTTTATGGAGTCTATTCAGTTTATGCACATGCACACTCCTCATGGTCAATCCGACCAAATCCTGGCCCCAAGCGTTTGTAATGTGGGCTGTTTTTTTTGGCCCCCGTAGGATTTTTTTGGGTACGGTCGGAAGGGCTCTTTCTTTGCCCTGGGTAGGCCCGGCGCTCCACAGCTTCGCATGCATGGACAGAGTCCGAAGAAAGCCCTCCGCGCGGTCTAGAAACAGCCTTCTCCCGCGCACAGGTTTTCTTCTACCCTGCCACGTATCCACGACCAAAAAATCCTTCCCCTCAGCGGACAGTGCACTTAGTGGCCCCTCTGCAGCCCGGATCGAGATTCCTCGGGCCCGAGATGTTGAGACCCACCCACGGGTTTCAACATCTTGTGTACACCTTGCCGCCCGGAGGTCTTAAAGAACGCCCTCCCCCCAGCGGCACATGACAAGGATTCATCCAGACGTGCCGCTGTCGCCCGAATCCGCCGGGTTCGATCACTGTCACCTCAGG